CACTAAAGCAGGTTTTCTCTTCTTGATTAAAACCTCATAAACACAGTTTCAAAGGAGTGTTGCCTCGTTACGTAAGTCCTCATCTTGATTGGGGTTTTTTTGTTGTCTTTTTGTTTGAAGTGAGAAAAATGAGAAACGGAGCAATTGACTTGCTAAGCACTATCAAGAATCTTTCATCCTGGTTGCTATGGTAATAAGCTCCTTTTTCCTCTGTGGTGAGCGTGAGCGCAACACTCTGTGTGTCCAATTAAAGATGTTACTCACCTCACCCTTGAAATATTGCATCTGCTGATTGTTTTTCTAGGGCTCAGACCCAGAAGTGTGCAGTTTGCACATATTTTTAAATAAAAAATAAAAATACATGTTTCTTCCTGACATATATAAAATGTTTATATATATTTTATGTCAGGAAGTAAAATATATTTGTATTTTATTTATTTATTTAATGCCATTTTTGTGCAACTGCACACTTATATATATATATATATATATATATATTATTCAGCAAGGATTCATTAAACTGAAAAAAGTGACAGTATAGACATTTATAATTTTACAAAATATTTATATTGTGATAAATGCTGTTTTTTGAGCTTTCTATTCATCAAAGAATACTGATGCAAAATCACTGTAACAGTTTCCACAAAAATAATAAACAGCATAACTGTTTTCAGTGTTGTTTAATAATGAGAAATGTATCTTGAGCAGCAAATCAGTATATTAGAATGATTGCTATCTAAATGTGACACTGAAGACTGGAGTAACGATGCTGAAAATTCAGCTTTGCATCACTGGAATAATTTAAAATTAAAAAAAAAAAATCAAATAGAAAACGTTTGTTTTAAATGGTAATAGAACATACAATATGACTGTTTACTCCATTTTTGTTCAAATTAGGGATGTCAACGATTAATCGATGATCGATTAATTGTCGATAAGAGATACAATCGATTAAAGCTACCGATGGTCGATTAAGCAGTTTAATTTTGGGCTGCGTGCGGCTCATGCGCAAAACACGTGCAAGCGGCTGTGAGTGACGGTGACGGTATATTTTAGGAAAAGAAACAATGCCTAAATATTATTGAATTATGTGGAAATTCGTGACCAGCCGCGTAAATGTAGGCTATATGGACTCGAACCTCATCCAAAAGCATGGTCGCGATGTAACATTTTCCAGCTAACCAATTATTCCTCTAATAAACAAAGCTTTTAAACCACACTTGTCATAATCAGAGTTTATAATTTGTAAATAAATAATTGCAGGATGCGCTGTGACAGACACTGACAATACGTTTTCCCGGAGCATTCAATGATGTCACTAAACGGTGATGCCACAATTAAGAGAAAGTTTCTGCAGGACCTAACTAGTCTAGGGCACAGGTTTTCAAGCCCTGGGACAAAATGGGATGCTTTAAGGAAAATGTATAGCCTATGTAAGTAATAGGCCTAAAATAAAAATAACAATTTATTTTCATTAAAAAATAAATATGCGAAATATGTCTTACTTAAATAATTAAGCTAACAGATTTAAAAGATTTTTTAAGTGTGGCACGGCGCTCCATAAACAAGTTCACGGAAAGGAAAGGATGACAATGCGCATTCTGTTTGCACAAATCTTCTGTTTTTTTTGTGTGTGTGCAAAAATAAAAGTAAACACTTTTGTGGATTGTATCTTACTCCAAAAATGTAGTTTTTTTATTTTTGTGTTTTTTTTGTCTCGTATGCACGCACGCACGCACGCACGCACTGTCACGATCTAATGCACTGTAAATGTCAGATTATTAAAAACAAATAGGCCTACCGCAACGCAAAAACTCAAAATCTGACATTTTACGGAACAGGATCCAGCAGGATCAAATTAAGTACTGGTCATAATACTCACATAATAATGTTTAATGTTAGCAACAGTGTGTTTTGCTGCAGCAGCGCCGATGGAAGCGGTTCACTGACTGTGCAGCACAGCCACACGTGCCACAGTTACGTTTGGGATCATTTTATTTTAAATGCCATAATGTCAGTTGAAAACATTGCAATTGTGTTTTAAAATACAAAAACGAGCACCACAAAACCATTTAAAGAGGCGCGTTCAGCGGTCCCCGTGACGGGATAGGAAACAGTCAACAAAGTAAAATTCTCAAACGAGCTCTCTTCATTTTATCAAATGATCATAATCACATCTATTCATTTTACAATCCTGCTACTAGCATTTCATTCAGACTAAAACCCCTTTAATTCGGGTGAGAAATATTTTTTTTGAGTGGCTTTTGCGCATCCCGTCTTGCCGGTGACTGCGTGCCGCTGCAATAGACGCATTTAGCAGCATTAAGGTTAACGATTAATCGATTAATTGATCGTTAATTTAAACGACGATCGATCATGGAAATGATCGAAAATTGACATCCCTAGTTCAAATAAATGCAGCCTTGGTGAGCAAAAGAGATTTCTGTATAAGAAACTTCTTTCAAAAATATTCAAAATCTTACTGACCCCAAACTTGTGAATGGTGTATATATGTGGAATATATAGTCAAAACGTTGTCAGTGCAAGTAAAAATCTGAAACTTCTGTGAACAATACCTTACTGTAATTCACACATGCTTTCTGTTTTTGTTCTTACATTATAAACAACCTAAGTGAAAGGTCTTCAAGGTCCTGTGCTTTGCTTAGCTTTTTGCGTTGTTTTTTTGTTGTTGTTTTTTTTTAAGCTCAGAGCAACTGCTATTTGCCTATGTCACGTTGCATCGACGCTGAATCCATTTATCCAATGAGAGTGGTTTAAGTCTCATCAGAGCCAGATCCGTTTGGGGAGAGAGGTGGCAAAAAAGCTGGGTCAGTTGTTTCAGAGGAAGGGCACAGACAACAGCTGTAATGACTTTCCTGGAAGCAGCTGGCAGAAATGCTGTCTGGGATCACTAATGGTGAAATAATGCTCTTATTTGGTGCTCTTTCTCAATAAGGATACATTTGATGGCAAGACCTGGGATTGTTGTTCTCCATTTCTGCTTTTATTGGGCTGATCATTCAGCAGTTACTAGTTCAGAAGAGAGGTCTTTTTTAACTCTTATAGCTTCCTGTTGTTATCATTATTAAGGAACCGGCTGTTGTTGGTTCCTTGGGTTGTTCACATTGACAGCGATTAAATCACTGCTGGGCACCAAGTCAGAGATGATTAAAGAAGCGTAGATGGCGACCTCCATGTCTATTAGGGGTTGCACCGACTAGTCAGCCAGTTGATTAGTTCTGCCACTAGTTGGGCTTATGTAGTTAGACCAGTGGTTCTCAATCAGATGGCCTCCGCAAACTTCCAGGGGCCCCAATATGTCCTAAATTATTTAAACTTGGTTATATCAACATAGTCTTAATTAAAGTGCTTGAAAAAATCTTAAAACAGATATTTAAGTAAATCACTAAAAATTGAGATGTAAAAGTGTATTAAGATATAAAAAGCAAAAATGCCTATTTGGCAATATTTCTATTTTTAATATTTTTTAAATCATGCCACATTGTAGTCATTTGTTCCCTCATTCTAATTAAATCAATATGAGGGAATAAATTAGTACAATGTTGCTGTGATTTAATAAAACAATGGAATGAATTAAGTCATAGGAACGAATTCTTAATTTGTGGCCACATTGAATATATTTTTGTCTGCATGTCATGTACAGGGCTTCGTATAACACTTGTCCTACTTTTGTTAACAAAAGTTACATTTTTTTTTTTGTGTTCAGGTTTTGACAGCAGGGTTTACACACTTCAAAAACACAATAGAAATATAGACGTTGCATAAACATTTAGTTGTTCAGCAGGATTAATAAATAAATAATATGAACATAAATTATTTAAAAAAATACAGAATATGTATACATATAAATACATACAAATATATATAAAGAAAGATAAAAAAACAAAGGCCAAAGAAGATTTATGCAAAACCAGTATAAACATGCATCACAATGGGGCAATCTTCAGATTTTCAAGCTGAATACTGTATTCCCAAGGTTAATAAATGTGTTTGTTCCAGTGAGAAAAGGGTCTCATATCTTGTAAAACTTAAAAGGCTTGCCTTTTGCCCTAGAAAAGGCTTCATATGGAATAAGAACTTCAGCTGTATTTATCCACTAGTAATTTAGGGAATTTGGTCTGTTATCCAACATAGAAGTATACATTTGAGAGCATAGTTTAATAGTATTTGAAGAAGATGGGCTCCTTGGAATTTGAAGGGGAATTCTTGACTTATACCTAACAGACATGCTTTTAATATAAGTGAGTTTGTAATTGTAGTATTTTATTGAATAATAATGAATTTACCATTTTCAAGCATTTTTATTTTATTTTTTTTCAAAGAAAGGGAACAATGTAAAGATCTAATGTTAAAGATCAAAATAAAAAATGCAGATCCTGACAAATATCTTGTAAAATGTGCAGTGTAATCGGTAATATCGATGTTGTTACAAGTTTATTAAAGGTGGCGATTTTTCAAAAACGCTTTAGAAAACTGATTCGGGCCGAATAGCAAAACAAACTTGTAGCCAATCAGCAGTAAGGGGCATGTCTACTCATGATGTGGAGGAGAGAGAGTTCAGTGCACAGGACAGACATTAGCGAGCCGAGCGATAGAAAGATAGAGATGGCGGATAAAAAACAAAAGAGGAAACCATCTGTGGAACAAAAGAAGGCTTAAGGCAATAAGGCAAGAAGTAGGACCCGTGTAATGTGTGGGGCAGAGCTATCAAAATAGGGGCGAGAACCTTTTGGGGTGGGGGCGTGTTTGTTTTGGTGATTTTAAATGTCAACATTGGCTACCAGAAATCACTTACCCCAACTTTAATCGGTGGGAAAATTTCCCCACCGTGGCATCTCTAATAGGAGAGCATTCATATGTTGTCTTGTGAAAAAAAGCTGAGATAGCCCTGGGTTCGACAACCTCAGACAACATGTTCTCTGTTTAACAATACAAAAACATCAACAAACATGCATTGCCATTGTCTCTCTTTTCTACAGATTGACCATGTTGATCCTACCCTGAGTCCTGAGGTCTATCTCCTGCACCCGTCCAGAAAGCTGCTTGCCCAGGCTGTGTCATGGCTGCCGGTCTCCCTGTTGCAAATTAGATTCAGGGCCTGCCTTCCTAGAACCAGCATTGCAGCTCGTCTGAGCGGGGCCCTGCTGGAAGCCACAGCTGCTCTCGGGGCCCGAAGTTCTCTGTCTAGCTTCACTGTTGGCTCCACAGGTCGAGCGATGCTGAAAGGTAAAAAACCCGCCAATTTCAGTTTTGTTGATGCTTCATGCTGATGTTTTTACGATTAAAGGGGAAATTAAAGGGTTACTCCACCCCAAAATGAAAATTTTGTCATTAATCACTTCATGTTGTTCCAAACCCATAAAAGCTTCGTTCGTCTTCGGAACACAATTTAAGATATTTTGGATGAAAACCGGGAGGCTTGTGACTGTCCCATTGCCAAATAAATAACACTGTCATGGTCCAGAAAAGTATGAAAGACATCGTCAAAATAGTCCATCTGCCATCAGTGGTTCAACCGTAATGTTATGAAGCGACGAGAATACTGTTTGTATGCGAAGAAAACAAAAATAACGACTTTATTTAACAATTCGTCTACTCTGTGTCTCTCCGCATCACCGTAGCGCCATTTTGGAGAATATCCACTGGACGCAAGCAGCGTACGCTCTTCTGTGTCAGCCACGACACAAGGATATGTTTTCTACATGTATTTACGCTTTGATTTGAACGAAAACAGCGCATCCGTGCAGCGCGGCTAATAAATTAATTAAAATAAATTAATAATGCTAATTTAAATCTTACAATAATACATTCACATGCAACAAAGAGGCAGCTCATTGAGAAAATGGCACAATAATGAAAAATCATAGAGACACAACCACATAAATTAGCATTAAATGTGTCTTGACAGAATTTGTATACTTCCCAGTGTGGAAGTACAGATTATTTTATGGATGTACTATAGCTACAAGGAATATAGTTAGTGGAGTTATAGTACAGTTGTTCTTGTGTATTTGCAAAATGTATTTGCATATGAAAAACATCAGAACTCTTCAGTACCTTTCAGAATTTTTAAGGCACTAACCTGACAATTTCAGCAACCAGATCTTCTTCAGAAGTGCTCATTGTGGCGTCTGTCTGAGGCTGACACTAATTGCTGCATGCTAAACAACCATATAGTTAACATGGAAAACTACTTTCTATTCATGTTGAACAGATAAAAAAAAGACAACTTTAAGGGTCTTTGTATTCCCATGTGGATGCCCTCCCCCCCAGCTTAAAGGCTGTTTTTTCTATGTATCTTCAGTGTCTTTGTGGATCCTCTGGACAGAATTACCCAGGATTTGGTTGATTGGAATGCGCAGGTCATTCCCTAGAGATCACTAACTTTGTTTTTCCACATCAAGCCCACTAGTGTTGACTTGGGACACTGGAAGAAATTGAGATTTTGGACTAGAGCATTTTTTTAGAGCATTTGTTTTCTTATCATTCAGATGCTACTTCATCTTTTCAAAGAAGTGTTCTGCGTTCAAAGTAATGCATTGTGGCATTCATACTTCTAACCGTTCTGGAATGATTTTGCCACAATGATTTCAGAAGCTAGTCTTTGTTGCAAACTTTGTCACAAGCACCACAATTACAGAGTAGAGTAATAGATAATACAAAAATAGTGAGATAATATTTTCTGCATGAGAATAATTGGTTTCTTTTGTTAACACAATCTTCTTTTGTGCATAATAATGACTTTGCTTTATTATTGTGTGTTTGTTTTCTTTCATTCTGAAGAGAACATAGCCGATCTGCTGGCTGAAAGATGATTCATGAGGAGGCCTCTTACAGGCGCCGCAGAAGCAGGTTATGAACTAATGAAAATCATCTCTGCTCCATCGAGGGCTATGTAACGTGACCGACGCGGGGGAGAAGGGTGTCAGTCTCTGACTTCCTCAACCCTTGGCTCTCTCACTTTGGCCTGCCAAACGATTCAAACCATGCACTTCAAACGCCTGCTTTGATTTGCAAAAAGTCAGACAGTGCTCTCCCTTTAATTTGATTCTGGCCGCATTAGCTTATCACCTGGCGCTCATCCATTTGGTGTGTAACCTCCAAGCCCTTCGTGAGACATGTCGGTGTAAAACGATCCTCATTGATTTGAATGCATAGCGCTCTGGACTAATTCCAAGGTGACATGACGTCTGTGTGGGACCATGAGTCAGTGACCCTGGTATTCGCGGCCTCATAATTAAATACACAAGCATTATTTTTCTCTCGTGAGGAAGTTCAGGCATCTGGGCCACAATGCAATCTGGCCCCTCTCAATGGACACCATTTTTGGGCTTTTTAAACATAGTGAGAGGTAAAGATGTTCTGCAAATTAAGTGACACCAAAAATCTCATCGTGTGCTGAGCTTTATTATCTGTTTTGGGCAGCAAAGTTGGTAGTAATCTGTAGTTTTAGACTGTTTTGTTGGGTCGGTCAGTGAAATGTTTTAGTTTTTGTGAAATGAACCTACGAAGCTGTGGTATATGTGGTTAATTTTTTACCCCATACAGAAGTCTCATGTTTATTTTAGCAGATGGCAGCGTTGCGCACCTGAAATCTGTTTTACATGTTGTCCTATTTTCCTTTAAAAACATTTATTTTCCACCATTCAAATGCAAACAGCTAGTAAAGATTGAACTTGATGATGGAAAAAGATATTTAAATCCTGCTTAACATAAAGTCATGACGAGCTTTTGCACTGTAGCTGACTGTAGAATTTCCACATTCAACATCCTGCACTGTTTTTGATTTGGGTATGAATGAAACAAATTAGCATCAGGGCTGAACAATACGGATGGCCTGCCAACCGGGGGTATTTCAGGCCAGCCAGAACAGTCACTTGCATTTTCAGGGTGATAATTTTACATTTATTGGTCTTGGACATCCATTGTTTATGCTTTGCACAATTGGGTCATTCCATATCAAATCAACCAAATTTCAGAAACTTCCCCGGCTCTAATTTTTGATTTTGCCAATATTTTTTCTAAAGAAAGATAAACATGTATGGTGATGAAAGTCAAAATATTAAATGTCACAGATGTGTATTTACTGAGTAATCCACTGTTTTGTAGAAGGTGGTCAAAATGACAATTTTCACCTGAGATTCTGAGCCAAATTAGGGGGGTAAAAATGACTTCAGAAAGATGGCATCGACATTGTTATTTTTACACAGAGATTGGTTGGTCTATTAGTAAAATCTCTTGACTTTAGCAATCTTTGTTGCATTATGTGCCAATGGTGACTGTTAAAAAATGAGAAAAACCACTTTTCATGTTTTCTTCTCTAAAGTTTGCATGCCTGTAACACAAGAAGTATAAAAGATATCTTAATGCCCTTTTAGATTTTGGGTCTTAACAAACTTTCCTTTTGCCATCTTAATTTTCAAGGCAATATTGGAATTTAAGTATGGCCTCAAGAGTAAATTGTTAAATTGCACACATTTTTAGTGGTCAAAAACCAAATGCGGGTCACTTTGCATACAGATCATACTTATTTTCTTTTAAAGAGGAATGTCTGAAGAACAAATAATGTTGAAACTAGAAATGTATCTTTTATGGATCTTTTGACCCTCCTCTACAAAATAGTGGATTACTCAGTAAATATACATCCGTGAGATTTAATATTTTGGCTTATATCACCAAACATGTTTGTCTTTCTTCAGAAAAAATATTGACAAAATAAAAAATTTGAGCCGAGGACCTCTGGTTGAGTTGACACAGAATGACCCAGTTGGTTTTCTGTGATGTATTCAACATTGTTGTTGTAAATTCTGCTGATTTGTCACCAAGATAATATTATTTAACTGGCTAACATAGATTTTAGGTTATGTCGATATAGAAAAATTGACTTTTACATTATTTACACTGTAGCTGTATAATTTACAGCTTGCTTGCATATTTTCTTTTGCAAAGATAAAATGGTAATAAAAAAAAAAAAATTAACAAAAAATACAAATGTATATACTTTTCCATAGTCTGGGGTCGCTAAGATTTAAAAAAAAAAAAAAAAAAAGCTCCTTATGCTCACCAAGTCTGCATTTATTTGATCAAAAATGCAGTAAAAACAGTAATATTGTAAAATATTATTACAATTTAAAGAGCTGTTTTCTCTTTTAATATATTTTAAAATGTATTTTTTTCCTGTGATGCAAAGCTGAATTTTCAGCATCATTACTCCAGTCTTCAGTGTCACACGATCCTTCAGAAATCATTCTAATATGCTGATTTGCTGCTCAAGAAGCATTTCTTATCTTATCATAATATCTTTCATTATCAAAGAAATTATGATAAGATACATTTCATTAAATTCTGAAATGTATATTTATAAATGTATTTACTACCACTTTTGATTAATTGAATGTTTGCTTGCTGAATAAAAGTATTGCTTTCTTAAAAATCTTACTTAACAGTAACAGTAGTGTACATGAAAATGCATATTACTAGCACATAAAAAATTTATTTCTAAAAATAAAATCACTACTGGGGAAACAGAAGGTACCATTTTAAGAATAATTCATAATCTGAACATGTCTGTGGTCATTACAACCCTGCATACACCCCTTTTTCAACAAAATGATGCTTCAGCAGTGGAATGCCTTTGTGGTAATTGAGTTTGTTCTATTTGAAGTCTAGTGCTTTATGACATTGCAAAAGATCCGTCTCTAAGATTAATCTCCCATCTTTACAGCAGCAAAAATGTTTTATTAACCCCATCCACAGGGGGTCAGGTTCACACAGGAAAGCTTTTTGTATGGGAGCAAACAGTTCTCCACTGAACACATTTTGAATATAGTGAGACACTCATTTGAGGAGAATTCTAAAATAACGATTAGAATTGGGTTACTCAAAAACAATACAGCAGCATGCACACAGAGTTTCAGTGGTGATGAATAGAGGTGGACAGGAATAGCGGCGACTGGGTCAGGTTAGGAGAACACACTCGCTCACATATGTGCTGAATGAGAGTGTTCAGAAACTCTCTGTGCTTGCAGAAAAAATGCAAACTCTGAGACCACTCAGTGTTATTTAACACTTGTGTTAGACAGTCATGGTGTGTTTATATGGCACTGAGATTTCTGACTGCACGCTGATGACGTGTTATGAGTTTATGTGCAGGAAATTGCAAACCTTCCTCTATATCAAATTAAACTTATTTACTTTATTATCTTTTGTATATTGGGCTGTACTGC